GTGCGTGCGTGTTTTGTTATTTTGTAGGAATTTCACTTAAAAAGGGATCCAATCGCCAGAGACAATTCACGGATCTCCTATGGAAATTGTTTCCACCTTTATACTTTGTACCGTGACACAGATGGAAACGTTCGACAGGTTAGTTTTTCTTAATTTTTTTACAGGAGGTAATTAACAGATATTACCCCCACCCCCACCCCGCTCAAAAAATAATAATCATAATAAAGAGAAAGACAAATCTGTATTGCTTGGAGACGTATTTGATACAAATGTAAATCATGTATTGCTAAATGAGCCTGGGTGAGATATGGCGAATCACTGATTAATTTCTAGTTTGGAGCTTTGTTAACCGCGAGCTATTCTCTCCAGGCACCAGCAAACGGCTGCCATTGCAGGCCCAAGATTAAAAAACTAGAAGAGAAACTGAAGGGCACACAAGAGGAGCTGAGACTGCACATCCTGAACATGCACGAACAGGTTGATAGCAGGCTGCGCAAGATGGACCGCAAGAGCAAACATCAGGTCTGCTTGTACGACTAAATACATACAAATAGCTCATACATGTTGTGACACTGTATATGTTACGTTAGGAAATCACTGTTGTACCATTCAAGCAGGATGTATACTTAGAACTGGGTTTTTTCAGTCTGAGTGAAGAAGCTTTGTTATGTTTTTGTTTAGATTACATTTGGTTTTGTTCCCTCATGTGCCCTTTTTGTCCGCACCTGTTCTCGTAAGCCATGCCCCTTCTGTCGAACCAATCAGCTCCCTCAACCCTTAGTGTCTTGACCAGATGTTTCTCATTGTCCCGTCACTTTGCTTGTATTTAGTTCCCTGCCGTCTTTGTTGGATCATTGTGTGTGTGCATCTCTGTGCGCCCCTCTCACATTTTGTTTCTGGCATAGGTTTTTGTTACTTTGGTTTCCTGTGGTTTTCAGGACTTTGTTTGAATACAGTGATCCCTCACTTATCGTGGTTAATGGGGACCGAGATCCCCGCGAAAGAGAAAAATCCACAAAGTAGGGTTTCCACACCCACCCCCTCTCTCTCTCCCTCTCTCTCTCTCCCTCTCCGCCGCGCACGTAGAAACAACAGAAGAGACAGTATGCCAGAGAGTTACCAACGTGATGAGACTCAAGGTGCTGGGCGGGGCTGTGAAGATGCGCAGCCAATCAGCTCACTTGGTGCTGTCATTGTTCGATGTCGCACCAGGAACCAATCATGCGCCTTAAATGAGTGCCCGCTGCATGTACAGTACAGGCATGTACAAAATCTCCGAGTCATTCAGCCTTTTTTTTTTCTGAATACAGTACTTTTATGAAAACACTCACAATAAATTTTCTGGGGTGTGAGGACGTGGGCGTGTATGTCGCCGCTTCTCACTCCGAGCTTCTCACTCCGAGCTGTAATAAACTCTGATCTTCCTTCTGATTTTTCTTTTGCTCTTCTGTTTTGGACTGTTTGGACTGTGGGTACTGTGATTGATGCAACTTGAATCATAACTTCATCCGATAAATCAAACCCCATCGTAACTTAGTCCACGGGTTAATGCCGGTAGCTTATGCTAACCAGCTGTCACCACACTGGCTTTTCACACCGGCTTTCCTCCCTCGACATGGGGCGCAAAAACCTCCTCGCCGCCTTTGGATTATTTTGGATACTCCTGACGTTCTGCCATCATCCACTGGCAGGACTGCTCCACTATTCTGTCGCGGCTCTTCTCCGGATCCGGTGGATTGCACCGGAGCCTCCGCCACCAGAGCTGCGCCATCATCCGGACATCGCTCGGCTGCCTCGACGTCACTACATTCACCGCGGGTCGCGCAGACATGTCGAGTACAAAACCGCGGCTCAATCAACTCGACCTGGTCCACTTCTCGACGCCCTCCCAGAAACTCCAGCCGCAACATCAACCGTCATGCATTAGCCCACCTGGCTAGGTCGGCTAACAGCGCTGCCGCCGTCAAACACGACACCTCCGCCGTCAACTTTGGTCTGCTGAACATCCGCTCACTCACGAGCAAAGGACACCTCATCCAAGATGTCCTCGCCGACCGCAAACTCGACTTCCCCATTTTAACAGAAACCTGGCAACAGACGAACGACTTCGCGGCTCTGAATGACTCAACTCCTCCCGGCTTTGTTTACATCTGCTGTGGCAGTGGCCGTGGAGGAGGCCTCGCGGTAGTGCACCGCGAGAAGTGGAAAGTCCTGCCTGTCTCCGTTGAAAGTCCTGCATCAAGCTCTTTTGAATGCCTGGTTTTTAAGCTCCCTGGACCCTCGCCAACCATCATCGCTACAGTTTATCGCCCCACGAAGCCACATAGTGATTTTATCAATGAATTTTCCAACCTAATCACACATTTATCCACTCTCTCGCCAAATTTAATTTTGCTGGGAGATTTCAATATTCAGATGGACAGCTTCGACCTGCCACTCACCAGAGACTTCGCATCCTGTCTGGAGAGCCTTGGGATACATTGTCTTATTGACTTCCCCAACCACATCAAAGGCCACACATTGGATTTGGTTTGCTGCTCTGGTCTCTCCCCCTCCAAGCCCACTGCTGATGTTCTTCCTGTAACCGACCATTTCCTCCTCACTTTTAACACCATACTCCGCCTTTCTACACTCACCCCTCCCCGTCTCATTTCTTTTCGTAACACCAAAAATATCAACATTGACACCTTCTGCTCCATTATCGACTGTACCCTGCCCCCAGACACTCTTTCAAACCCGGATGACCTCATTGCTCACTACAACACCTGCCTCACAAATATTCTCAATTCTCTTGCCCCCCTGAAAACCAGGACTGCTTCATTCTCTACATCTGCCCCCTGGTTTACACCTGCTCTTAGGTCCATGAAATTAATAAAACGCCAACTTGAGCGACTTTACAAGAAAACCGGTCTCACCATCCATGAGGACATGTACACCATCCATATCATTCAATACAAGGACCTAATTGCACAACCAAAATCCAGCTACGACTACGGCCTCCTCCTCTTCAACTAAGGAAACTCAAGAACTCTCTTCTCTGTCATGAACAAAATCCTCCAGCCACCAAATTCTCTCCCCCTCCACCTGTACTCCACAGCAACCTGCAACTCCATAATAGAGGACTTCAATAACAAAATCCTGAAGATCCACCATCACCTCCATCAAAACCTGCCAGCTCCCTCCCCACCTGAACCTCCTTCTCCTTGTCATTGTTTCTCCAGTTTTGTTGCACCCACAACTGCTGAAATATCCAACTTAATACACAAATCCAAGCCCAACACGTGCCAGCTTGATCCCCTCCCTTCATCACTCGTCAAATCCTGCCTCCCTTCCCTACTTCCTCTCATATCTGCCATTATCCACTCCTCACTTTCTACTGGAATTGTCCCATCACTTTTCATAACCGCTGCTGTTACCCCCATACTGAAAAAACACGGCTCAGACCCCAATAACTTCCAATAACCTCCGCCCATCTCCAACCTTCTATTTATCTCTAAAATCCTTGACAAAACTGTTGCTGCTGAACTCCACTCCCACCTATCCCTCCACTCTCTCTATGAACCTTTTCAGTCTGGTTTCCGCGCCCACCACAGCACAGAGACTGCCCTAATCCGAATTGTAAACGATCTCCTCATAGCATCTGATTCTGGTTTAGTTTCCATCCTCATCCTCTTAGACCCGAGTGCCGGCTTTGACACTATCTCTCACCCTATCCTCTTCAATAGACTCTCCTCCATTGGTCTCTCCCACACTCCCGTCAGTTGGTTCCACTCCTACCTCACCGGCCGCACTCAGTTTGTCCAGCTCAAATCCTTCACTTCAAAGCCCTCCCCAGTCACCACAGGTGTACCCCAGGGATCTGTCCTAGGGCCCCTTCTCTTCATCATCTACCTCCTGCCTCTTGGTCAAATCCTCTGCACATTTAATATACACTTTCACTGCTTTGCTGATGACACCCAGCTCTACCTTTCCTGTAAACCAAACTCCATTCGCCCACCCTCCTCCCTCACCTCTTGCCTCTCCGAACTCAAAACATGGTTCACAACAAACTTTCTTAAATTAAATTCTAATAAAACTGACATCCTCCTTCGTGGCACCAAATCCATTTTATCTAAAGTAAACAGTTCTCCCTCAACATTGACAGTTCCTCAGCGTCCCCCTCCCCCCTCCCCCTCAGGTTAAGAGTCTGGGCGTCATCCTTGACAGCATCAACACCATCACCTGCACTGCTTATTTCCACCTCTGCAATATTAACAGACTTCGCCCTTCCCTCACCCCCCGCACCACTGCTATTCTTGTCCACAGTCTTGTCACATCCCGCTTAGTTTACTGCAATGCTCTCCTCTTCGGCCTACCTCAAAAGTCCCTCCATAAAATCCAGCTGGTTCAAAACGCCTCTGCTCGCATCATTACAAAAACACCCTCCCAGCAGCACATCACCCCCGTCCTTCAGCAGCTCCACTGGCTCCCTGTCCAATACCGCATCACCTACAAACTGCTGCTATATACATGTATGGCCATCCACAACCTGGCCCCTCCCTACCTGTCCGACCTTCTTCAGGTGCATACCCCCACTCGCTCCCTCAGATCCTCGTCCTCCCCCCGCCTGTCAGTGCCCCCTGCCCACCTCAGCACTATGGGAGCCAGAGCCTTCAGTCGCGCTGCTCCAAAGCTCTGGAACGATCTACCTCCGGGGACCTCCAAAACTGTACACCTGTCTTCCACTTTCAAGTCCCGTCTAAAAACACACTTGTTCAGGACTGCCTACAATACACAATTCTTCCATTTCCTCTGTTTTGTGATTTTATGTCCTGTTTTTATACAATATTTCTCTTATTTATTTTTACATTGTATTGTCTGTACAGTGTCCTTGGGTGGCATAAATTATGATTAAGAGGATTCAGGTCTGGAGAAAGTGCAGGCCATTCCATTAGAGGTACACTACCTGTATTTTTCGCACTAAAAGGCACAGTGGATTACGAGGCGCACCTTCAATGAATGGCCTATTTTGTAATTTTTGTCATATATTGGACGAACTGGATTATAAGGCGCAATCTACAATGCACCCACTAGATGGAGCCACGCTCCTTCCATTCGACTCGAGAGGAGTTCATGACCGCCTCCGAAAAATGTAAATTAACTCAATGAAACTACAAAAATTGAAAATAATGCATCAAAACAGAAAATCAAGCGAGAAAATCACAAAATAAATTCTATAGCCCCCCTACAGAATTTATTTTGGCATTTTCTTGAGCATAGCTCCAACAGAACGATCAGATATCAGTAAAATGTAGGAGACTGGACTGTCTCAGAAGTGTTTGTTATTTATTCCTTTGTTATGTACTGTATTCACAAACGAGAAAAATCACAAAATGAATTCTGTCGGGGGGCTATAGAATTTATTTCGTGATTTCCTCGCTTGATTTTCTGTTTTGATGCATTATTTTCCATTTTCGTAGTTTCATTGAAGGAGTTGTTAATTTACGTTTTTCGGAGGCGGTCATGAAAGCCTATTGAGTCGAACAGAAGAAGAGAAGGCACGGAGACGGACAATGACGTACCTGTATTTGTTGAGACTGTGAAAACCATTAATAAAGTGTGCGTTTTAAAAAACAACACCACAGCTCTCCTTTTTTCAAAGCTGCAACAAAAACTTATTTAATA